TCAACTACCGCTACATGCGCCTGCAGACGCATCTAGTTAAAAGTCCCTTTTCCAACTAGTAATCTAGATGACAACTAGTCGTGTATCGCCTGATTACAGACAAAATGTATCTAGATTTTTCTCATAGGTGATATTTGCTTGGGTGCCAACGTGTCGACTCCATTAAGGCCAGACTGACTGAGAGTTCTTTCGCTCAATCGCTTGAGTTCTCCGTACACACTGACTAATCACACACTAGCCGGTGTATGTCAGAACGTAGTCAGTACGCTGTCGGACGGGTCATCCGAGGCAAACAGCCATTAATGACTTGCCCAGGGTCATTCCATGTCTGATGGCACTGAGGCTCGAGCACCCTGAGGGTACGTGCTAAACAATTTAACCACACAGCCATAGCGGCGGAAAAGACTGTCAACATGGTTTGACTGTTAGTTTACATGATCAAATTGAAATTGAAATCATCCTCGCAAGTTAATCTTTCGAATTAATTGCCTCGCGAAGTTAATTCAAATTATAAGTAAAACAAGAAAATAAATACATATTGTATAAATAAATTTTTCTTCTTTTACTTATAACTTCTCGTTATATGCTGAGGTAAATAGCTATCCTTCTGGCGGTTAACCTGCAGATAATTACTTTTAAGAGTGAGGAGCGAGAATTCCTCATTAGGGATGACACTTTACTAGTTACTCGCCGTTACTTTATCAGGTAAAGTAACGATTTTAATTACTACGTTACTAGTAACGAGTAACTAATTTCGTTACTTTTTTAACCGTTACTTTACTGGTAACGAAGTAACGAACTTAGTTACTCGAAAACACCTTCGAGAATCCTATTATTCGGAAGAAGTCCGTAAACACATTCAAAATCTCACATAACACATCGAACATCCAAAACCAAAGCAGCAAGTTGAAGAGATATTATGGCATAATAAAGATTTATTTGATTTGAGTCCAACCAGCGTTAATATATTTCCTCAATCAGCAACCAAAACCGGTGATTATCCTCCGGTTTATTCGAAACAATATATTGTTTGAGAGGGATCAACAAATAAAAACTGAAAACGCTCAAAAATTGTTAGCACGTAGCCAAATCGAGGAATCAACTTCTCTTCGTTGGGTTCTGCACAATTGGACGCAAGAACTCTGCGTTAGGCTAGCTTTCTGGCCAGAACTGCAGTTGATGACTAGTAACGAGATGGGGAGAACATTTCAGACACTTGTCAACTGCATTGGAGATATCGGGCTATTGAAACTGCTACGGTAGCACTCTGCACCGGCGATGGAGCTGAAAGGCAGGTATCCTTTCTCCGTCTTCGTCAATATTTCTACGTAATAAATGTAATAAATGTCTATCGTACAATATTTTTACGTAATATCCAGATAGACAGAAACTAATAAGAAAAGAGGCAGATAAGTATGGCATACTTCATGATGGCTTTAAAAGAAAAGTTAGACAGCTTGAAGACGCAGTAAGATACTGTACTGTACAGTACAAACTGGTCTGATTATATTGCTATTCAATGAATATCGGATTGTTGTTCTTTTGAATGAAAAAGAGTTTGTTTTTCACCGTTCCAGCTGAACAATCATCACTAGGACACTGTCAACTGTGACAATTGATAATACAAAAAGACTACAAGAAATTCAGTGCAAATATCAATACATACACAGGAAAAGAAGGGTTTGAGAAAACGTTTTCTCTCGATTCATGAAAAGCTGTTTCAGCCTGAGGGATGCCTGCACACAGGCGTTAGTAAACCCTGTAGTTTAAGAATCACGTTCATAAAAGTGTTGAAGAAGAAATATTTTTTATTTGTTTTCATAGCAACATGCAGTTTAACCTTCAAAGTTGTTGTTGGATGTTGAACACTATTGTAACGGCAGAACAGAAAAGAACAAAAGAGGTAAGCAATGAAAGTCTTTCTTTTATTCAAAGTCATTATTATTCTGTAACTATTATTCTTATTTTAATTTTCTGTCTTCTGTCTTCATTCCTGTTAACACTTATTTTGCATTGTCGTGCTTTTAAAGCATAAAACGGGAAGTCTATATAATAGAGAAAGAGAAAACTGTATTGTCTTCACTATTTAATATTTCATACCTTCATCAACAGCAACAATGGGGTGCACACAGACTGGCATGTCAGCTTACCGAGTCATCGGTCTCTCTCCATCCACATGTACTCAGCGAACGTTGTTCACTGCTTACGAGCGACAAGCAACAGTCGATCTCGTTCCTCTTAACATAATGGCCGGTGATCAGAAGAAACCGGAACATTTGGCCAAACAACCATTCGGAAAAATTCCTGTACTCGAAATGCAGGATTTTGTATTGTATGAATCACGCGCCATTGCGCGTTTCATCAATGATACGTGTTCGTCTGGCAGCACACTGATACCCAGTGATCCGAAACAACGTGCTATCTTTGAACAATGGGCATCACTTGAAGCAGGCACCTACAATCCACACATCGAGGGCTTGGTTGCTCAACGTGTATTTGTGCCGATGAGAGGGGGCCAAACGGACGAAAACAAAGTCAAAGAGCATTATAATGCGTTGAAAGGTAAGCGAACCTATCTGACGTCTGCATGAATCAACATTAGAAGACTGTTTAATCTTTAGAGCCACTCGATATTCTGAATAATAATCTGGCTAACAAGGAATACATTGCCGGTCCATTCACACTCGTGGATATTTTTTTCACTCCCTATATAAATATGCTATTACAATTACCGGAAAAGGATTTGATCGAATCACGACCGAATATTGCGGCATGGTGGAAACGTGTCTCATCGCGGCCAGCGTTTAAAAAATTGTATAAACAAGTCGAAGAAGATAGAGCAGCAATGATGTCCGGACAAAAGTAATTCCATTCATATGACTAATTCTAATTATGATTCTTTTTCAACGTTACGATAAGTTAAATGTTTGTGGATTTTAATTGCTATTTTTGACGTTTTCAGATATTGCGATTAGAGACTAAAACGTGCTTTTTCGAAAAATTCATTTCTGGCATTCACTGTAAGAAAACTATTTTCCTACCTTGAAGTATCGCAAAACCGAATAATCTCTTAATTTTATTTGTTTTGGCTTTGAGCTGCTCGTCATATAGCCTATACCATCCGCAGCTTATTTCAGTATTCTCAAGCATTTTGGATTGATCGTAAATGAAGTAAGAACTCTTTAGTTTTTGTTGAAAATAGGAAAAATGGTTTATTATACTACTAAGGTTTCTTGCCGAATTAATAAATTGTTTCCTGGAAACAAACATTGCAGTATAACTCAATGTAATTGATACCCTACATTTCATTCAATTCGATATCTCAAAACAATCTAGTAGACCAAATACATTCATAAAACTAAAAAGATCCATTCTGTTCGCAAGAAGCAGCATTTAGATTGTAGAAGAAGTTAAATCATTTTTCTTATTTTACTAAGACTGAAATAAATGTATGAATTTTGGAAGCAGACCCTATAAAATATATATGTAATGACTGTTCTGTTTTCTTTCATAAAGAACGCAAGACGTTTGGTCTGACATCACAGCATCGTCGCATAAAATATAACGTGGGTATGAATATTTGCAGTACAGCGTCTTTCTTTGATTTTCTAATAATTGACAGAAACAGATAACTGGCTATAGCTGAAGCGAAAGGACATCAAGATCACTGTTACGATCACCATCGTCACCGTCGACAAATGAAAAAGAAAAACAACAGTTAAGATAGAATTTTAAATTGCGATGTAGTTGTTTTTGCTGAAAGCACAAAGGTTTCGCCGACAGTTGTCAAATGTTTTTGAAAAAGCGCAGCAAGTTGTAGTTCACATGTTGCTTAAAACATTGTTCATTAGAACAATTTTATCTAAAGAAAAAGTCAACGAAGACGAACCAGTTTTAATATTGGTTCACTCTTCTTTCGGCTTAATTTTGATCGGATTTTACACATTTTTCAGTTTATCTCAACCTTTAAAACTCTACAGAGAATTATTAATTTTCTGAGATGAAGCATACAGAATATCAGTATTTAACGAAAACGGTTTTGTCGAAATCTTTGAAAAAAACTTTTAAAATATTAATTTTTTTGAAAATGGATGGGCAAAAAATGACGAAGGTTTTGTATAATAAGCAAAATTCTCATGTTTGATCTTCTTTTAAAATTCCAAAACCACTTTTTTCTTATTTTCCATTCAAAACTGAGTGGGGAAAGCTGATTTTGGAACTTTTAGAGCTAAAATGGACTCAGAATCTGCTAAACACGAGCTGAATGGCAAAGGAGCTACCGGTCTATTTTGCAAAATATCTGGTCGTAAAACTTAGGAGATAAAATTCTTTCTTTTACTTTATTCTGATTGCCATACCTGTAGGAAAAGGTAACGTATCCTTTTTAGAAAATTTTGTTTCTTTAATTTGGAAAATAAATATTAAAAATCGTTTGAAGGCTTTAGTCAGGACACTTTCCTCTATCAACTGACAGAAGATCATTAAAAATAGAGTTTGACGCATGGAACGGTTCCCTCGTGAAACGTGATTGTTTATATTACGTTACTTCCTCCTTTTTTACGTTATTCTTCTCTTTTTCATGTCATACTGACTGCGTGTCTCTATAGTAGCTTTTGCTTCTTACAAAACTATTTTTCGTGTCCTGTTCCATTGTATATAAAATAAACCATATTTTTTGCTTACATCTCCCAATGTAATCAAGTTCTCAAGGTGATGTAGTTGTTTACATTTAAGTTGTTAATAGGCCTCTAGCATCTCACTTTGGAATAGAGTTTGTTCTTTTTAAAAGATGTTACATGTATATGTTACATACTTTGTATAATTTCGAATTACTCTTTAAGGGCGCCACTCTCAGGAAAAACGTTTTTATCGTACATCCGATTACGGTGGAGCTTTCAGTGACTAATTCTTTCTGTCCTACTAGCTTATGCTAAGAATTCGAGATCGAAACCTTGAAGCACTGTCGAGTTAGCGCGTGACAAGGGGCAAAACGGGGCTCTCAGCAAAAGCGCTAAGGCTCTTTGGGAGGTGCAGAAAGGTGCAAGAGACCTCAAATGAAAGTAGACACCTAAATCTAAAATTTGATCCACGGCGACTTTTAAATTTCGCTTTCGCTCATTCCCTATACGTATTTTACGCGAGGCCTCTGTAATTACCCTAATTCGGCGGAGTATTTGCCACTTGTCTCTGTACAGAAAACAAAAATCAAGAATCGCCGCGGATCGAACTTTAGATAAATGTCTTAGCTTCGAAATAAAAAAAAGAATGAAGGTTTTACGACGAATCGTATAGGAGTTGATCCTTTCCCTTTTCCTTTCCTTTTCGTTAGCCAGAAAGACTTAAAGTCCTGCAGGCAGATAGCCAACCTGAAAGCAAGACAAATGACTACCGGCAGCCCAGGGACGCCCTCCACCATTACAAAGCAGTAGTGGACTCCTGTGAGTGCCAGAGACACTCCCGGCAGGCGGAGTTTCTCTGGCCTAGGAATGTGTCCACCTAGGAGTTGATACAATTTTGCTGCGCCAAAACCATATTCTAAGCAATGACGTCATCACTTCATTGCTAATAAGTCAGCGCCTTTAGCAAAACCAGTATAATTCTGCAAGACAAAGTCGTACAAACCTGCTGGAAATCTCATTCTGATCCGAACATTGCACTCAGCATAGCTCCATGTGTGATAAAAACGGACTACCTCAAAAATTTTAATTAAAACATGAAATTTAGAAAAAGGTTATCTTTAGGGCTTTCCGAAATCTTGTTTAAAATCCTCCAAAAACATTGAACTTTTGATAAACTGAGATGGATTCTGAAAGGTGACACTTTGGGATACTGAACCATATGGTTATTTCATATTCGAAGGTTTCGAAGAAAACATCGAATTCCTGAGGAGTGGGGTCCCTTAATTAGGAATGATTAGCTACTGTAGACTTCGAAACAGATTGAAATGCACAATATATATGTCATAACAATCATACTTTGGATTCATACGCATCATCTTTAAAATTAAAATCATTATCTCAGAGAACCATATAACGGTAACTTAATGATCCATCTGCGATAGTTGGGGCAGAAGCAGACTTTTCGTGGGACACTCCACAGCCGAAGTTTCTTGATATTTAGGAATTTAGAAACATAGATTATCAGCCACGCTGAATCTAATGATAATGTTTATTTTTCGATTCACTTCAAAAGAATAGTGAAAACTTATACTAGACGAAATAATCTATTTTTCACTATTTTCACCGAAAATTAAAAAATTCATAACTCAGTCAAAATTGTTGTTATAAGCTTTATTCTGTCAGAATACAAATGGAAAATTATTCCATTATAGTATTCTAAACCAAAACTATCAACAAACGCAAAATCAATTTTGTACGAACAGAGATTCGAACACATGAACTTAGCTTTGCAGTAAACTGCACAACTAAATCCACTGTTCTGTATTTATATTCTGTACAAAATGCTCTTGTGGAATTTTCAATGTAGGATAATTCCATATATAGAAATCTGCTGCTAATTTCCCTTACGTTAAAAGATCTGAATTATAACAAGACAGTTGCTGGTGATTTGACATCTAGAGTATTAATAGTTAAAGAATCTGAATTAACAATCCCTCTAATAAATAATATAGATGAAAGTCTTTCTACAGTTAGATACCGTAAGTCTCTCAAAATTGGCTCAGTTTGTCCAATACACAAGAAAAACAATATAGAAACGTATCGTCTAACACCACTTAATTCCATTTTGAGCAAAGTCATGAAAAGAGTCTGTATAATTACCTGTACTCCTTTCTTTTTTCGGTTAAGTTAATTTTATCTGATCAATTGGGTTCTTTTTATCAAATGAGACTCTTGTGTCAATCAATTATTAACGCTCATTCCCTATATTAAAATCTTTCTTTCTTTGAAGAAATGTATAAATTGTGGAGTACTCCACAACAGTATCCTGATGGCTTGTCCACGTAACGCGATACTTCGCTGATCAAGCTTTTTTGAATTTTTTTCATCGAAAAATCGACTGAGGCACATCACTAGATACAACTTTTCATTTTGTTTTGAGATCTATTTTTCAGTCGAGACACGGTGGCTGCTTGAAAGTTTCAACTTCAGCCTTGGTCTGAAAGCCTCAGAGAATTTTTCGAACTTTATTTTCAGTTGGAGTTTCAGAAAACCTAGGACTATACAGACTATAAGTATGCAGTTTCTTGAATAACGGCTGGTGCCTGGAAATGGTGCGACAAAAAAGTGTGTCACAGCGTTACTTTAGTAAACTGGGTTTCATAAACAAAGTAAAGGGTTCTGAAAAAAATGTTTTTTAGAAAAGAAAGTTCGCTAGGTCCTCTGTAAACTGTGCTCAAGACACTTTTTATTAGTTGTTCTAAATTCACAGGAATTTGCACTCTAATGAGAAGTAGTTAGAATTTAGGGCCTGTTTATGTCACAGCGTTACCGGTCTAAAAAGGTTTCCTGAAAGCTCGAGTCTTTAACCAAAAATCTTAGTTTTTATCAACGTAGAGTAAGAGGAGCCGCGTCGAATGGCGCAAAAAGCGAACTCTCAAGCTCTTATAGTGTTCGAGAAAACCTTAAATTACTGTGTCAAAAATGTCACAGCGTTACCTGCGGACAAACCGTTGAGGTCACTTTTCTTTCTTATATATAGATGATTAAGATGAAAATCTCAAGTGTCTTTTAAACCTGAACGCAGATAATGTGTCATTATTTTACTTCTGCGATTATTTTCTATTATCCATACGAAATGAAACAATGATCTAATCAAAATAACTAATTGGTGTCAACGTCAGAGTAGTAAAAACGTTAATTGACAAACAACGATTTATATACCATTGTTAGGCCAATTTAGCGGTCAATTTAAGTTATCGAATGTAGGAGGTTATCATGGTGCAATTGATTCTAAATATTCTTGTTTACGGTTGCCATAGAGTGCTAAATTCAATGTTTCAATTGACGTCTATATCTTACGCATGAAAATTTTGTTAATACTTGAAAAATTCTTAATTCTGATATACACTAAATCTTTGTCCGTAATGAAAGTGACTATAATTATGGACATAAATATGGTTGCCAGTTCAATTATTTTTTTCTCATCCAAATAACATTTTATATTTCGTAAAATTAGTCTTCTTGCATTTGATTTTCTGATGGTGCAGAACTTGTATCTTCAATTTCATCAAATTTTTTCTTCAAAATGCCAAGAGTTTTTTGATAATTTGTATCCTGAAGTTCTTTTGTACGCAGTGTTAATTTCATAGCCCATGCATAACAATTTTTGGCTCTAATTCTCTCATCAACGTGGACATAATGATCACCTTTCTCTTCTAAATATTTAGCGATGTCTTTTGTTAAACGTATTAGTAAATCATCTTGATGTTCTAACATTGCCGATATATTATCGACGTAGTTCATAGCCCATTCCGTATGTAGCGAAATGTTTCCACAAAATATGTAAATACCATGAATTTGCCTTAAATGAACTAGTTCTGGCACAATTTGTGCACCCATGCTACCAGATGAGATAAAAAATATTTTTTTATCTTTGTTTGACATAATAAATTCTAGGCAATCCTTAATTTCAAAAAATGATTTCAAACAATATACATGATCTGCTAATTTTTTCAACGTTTCAGGATTTTCGTAAGTGACCGGATATTCATCAAACTCCTTCTCTTCCTTAGTCAACGTGATTAATGGTTGTATATTGTTTCCAAATTTATCTTTTAATGTATCGTATTCTTTTGGACGACCGATATACTTATCAAGCCAAACAGTTAAATGATCAGAATATGTTGCAATGTCTAGATCGTTGTTCCAATAAGGAATTACATTTGAAAAATATTGCGGATCGACCTCCATCATCAAGAAATAAGTACCAAATCTAGAATAAAAATAATAATAAATAAATCTGCCAAGATGTTTGTAAATATCAATTTTCTTAAAACTCGATTTTTCACTAATTCTGAGATTATTTTTCAGAAACACCCGTTGTCAACAAATTCAGCATGGTCGATAATATGTGATTCATTTGGTTTCAAGGTTACTTCATGTCATCAGATATGAGTGATGAAGTTCCAACAAAATTCAATACTATGTTCGAATCACTAAAAGATCCGTGACACGATATTACCGCGAAGACTCGTTTATTGGAACAGAAGAATAAATGAGCCTGGTTTTGTACTTTGTATGTCAAGTTTTGAAACCTGGGCGAAGTTATGTAGTTAATAGTCATTATGTGATATAATTACAGATATCCAGTTTCATTGCTTATTGTGTTATATTGCTCTTGTGAGAGTATGTTCGAAAAATAGTTTTACACAAAACATATTTTCATGATGCGAAAGTAGATATCTGTGACTGTATCAGATGACTAGTGACCACGTAACTTCAGTTAAGTTTGAAAACATGAGGTGCAAAATACAAAATCGGGCTCATTTGTTCGCCATTTCCAATAAACAAGTCTTCGCGGTAATGTCGCTGTATCAAAAGATCAACATCTTGCTTGATTCCCATATTGCAGAGAATAAGTGACAACTAGACTATCTACGCACCCAAAAATCACTATATTGTCACTTTAATTTTTGGAGAACTACCACACTGATTCTTCAACAAATTGTATCCCACTCTCATGTTTTCTGTTCTGTTATTCGAGATGTGAATAATAATTATATTTTTATTTTATTGTATATAATATCGACAGAAAAAGAAAGAACTCAACAGGCACATGTACTCTATTTACCGATTGAAAAGAAGACACATATAATACTATAACATGCATGAAGGAATGTGAAAGAAACGATTATTTTTATATACTTCTGTTTGCAAAGAGAAACACATATATGGGTTTTTTCTATAAAGAACGAGAAGAACGATAGAAGGTTTGCAGAGCAAGAATATTTTTTTGTGCTTTAGACTCAAAAAATAATAACATGTAAATTGTTATACACGTTTTACGACGGAACAATCGAAGGTGCTTTACGCCAATCTTGCTCATCGTTTACCGATTGATAGGGTCTATAATGATAAGAAAAAATCTAAAATAGTTTGGACTGATCTTGCATAATTGATGAGATAAAAGTAACGTAATTTTCTTCATAGGTAACGTTATACCGTACATCTCATATTTTTATTTTTCTCATATCTCAGCAACGAAATATTATTTAGACCTGAAAATTTTTTCTCAAACGGTTCTTACCATTGTGTAATTATGTTGTGTAATTTACTCTACAAGACACACGGACTTACTTTTTGCTTTTTCTTTCTTTAATGTAACACAAAATAAAAATAGTCTTTTTTCTCATTTCGATTATTCTTGATGGTATTCTGACGTAAGAAATTACTGTTATATCAAACGTCCCTGTTAGAGGCACGTACAATGTACTTACACAAATCAAGAGGTGAACATTAAATATCCTATACAGCTCGTTCGTTCATGTTGCCGCTGTTTTAAACTTTATTCATCACTTTCAAAAAAAAACGGAGGAAATGTATATTAGGCAGTTTTTGCTTCAGACATATTATGAGGTAGGTTGGATGGAATTTAGCTTGGTAATGTTTCTTTACAAAAGAAAAAAAATGCAAAAAATTTGATGAAAACCGATACTAGATGACATAATGCATTTTTATATAGTCACATTTTTTGGCAGATTCCCCATTTATAGAATATATAAAATATAAGTCATTTTTATAGTGAATTGAATAACGTTGCAACCAAAAGTGAAAATGTAGTTTATTTCGACTTTTATCGGGTAGTGCATCAATATCTGCCCAGACGACATTGTTTCACAGATGTACGCATCGCCAACGTAGAACAGATGGTATTTATCGCTGTCTTAGTTCCCTAAATAAGAGTACACGGTGATTCAAAGATCATGAGAAACTAAGTAGCACAATACAAGAAAATGAGTGCCTTTTTGATACATTTTTTTGTGTTTTCGTAAATTTTACCATATAGAATATGTTTTTGTGATTCGAACAATTACTACATATTTTGCTACATCAAAATATAAATTAAATTATTAGCATTAATAAGTAAAGAAAACCCCTTTCTATTGTTAAAGTCGTTAATCATTGCCTTTATATTCATTGGATTCAGTGGCCGAGTCAAATGTTCAGTTCTGATTGGCCAACATCTTGCAACTACAATTGTGACTACTACCATCGATAGTTGAAATACAACTTTTGTTACTGTCTTTCTACACTGGAAATTATTGCAGTAATTAACGCTGACAGATGCTTTTATAACATAAAAATTTTAAAGCCTAGAAAATGTGTCTACTTTTAAATTGGTCACAGAAAATTTAAGTGGACCCATTTTTAATGAAGTGAATATTAACAGTTTTTCGCCGTTAAGTAAACTAGAATCCGAGCAACAACCGTTTAACTCGAATGTTTTTAAATTAGGCATGACTTCTAATATTAACGATAAAACACTGTGTGATACATCATGAATAACCACCATCATTTCCAAAATACAAGACCGGTGGTTATTTTCTGAATATATCAAAAGGAATAAAATTGAGAGACTTGCGGTTTTCATCATTCGCCAGCTAAGACCTGAAGCTGCGTTTTCAGAATGAAAAACGAATTTGAAAAGAATTTCAAAGACCGTTTTTAGGAGATCTGTGAAAAACTAGTTAGTATCTTTGAAAGTTGTCATAGAAAGCTACACATTTTTTTTCATAGATACTCGATAAACAAACTTAATAAATGTCTGATGGACATTCAGTACGCGTGTGATTCGAGTTCCATGTATTGTTCACAACTCAGCCATATTTATCCAAATTAAGACAAATCTTATCGTTCGATTTATAAGTTTTTTGTCTACGCATAAATGTAAAAAAGTTCAAGACTCTCTTAATGGAATCCTGCAAAGAAACCCGATCAAAGTCAATATATTGTTCTCACATATACATAACGAGTACATATATACGCTGTCGACTATGATCGGATTCTTTGCAGAATTCCACTGTGGGAGTCTTAAACTTTTTTACATATCTGTATAGACAAAAGCCTTATAAATCTAAATGTAAGAGCTTGAATAAATTCAGAGGATCAGAGGCAAAGCAAAAATAAAATTGTTCTATAATTATTTTCAACCCAACTTCTAACTATGAATAATTCACCTTGGTTACATCATCTTCCTGATGAGAAAACCAGGTAAAACATGGAGGCAGCTGAAATCAGTATTTCAGCTGCCTCAAGCAAAACTCGTCAGAAAAGGAGCTTCTTCAACCTAAAATTAGTGCTCTTTGGTGTTCTCGGATTCGAGAAATTGATACCTTGTATAAAAAACTAGATTTCTTGAGTCATAAGGTAAAATCTAGTGCGATTTTTTGAGATCAAGATCTTGACTATTTAAAAACGTTTTCACCAAAAATATCATCAATTAAGCATAATCACATCGATTAATAGGAAAATTTTAAGCTTTAAACTTTCATGATTTAAGATTTACTACACTGAATGCTTATCATGAAGCACAGACATATGAACAAGTGATGAAAATGTTCTTCAGCAATGTGTGTAGTGGAACAGTGGAAGGACACAGAAAAATTACGAATAGCAATCTCAATGCTGGTGTTTGAACAGTCTGTTTCCTCCTTAATTGCCATTGTTTTACGTTCGTTTTAGACACATTTGTCATTTTTTAGCATATTAAAACAGAGAAGAAAATAAAAAGCAACAGTTAACAAGTTGATATGACCCAACAAAAGCGTCGAACCCCAACTTTTTGCGATAACAGAGTTTTCGGAGATCTTCTAAGTACGTTTATTGAATTCCTCGTGAGTTTTACCTATTTGGATGCATTATCACCGAATTTGAGTCAAAATTCAAGCAGATAATAGAAAACGAGGTCCCCGCTTCTGACATGCGTTTGAATAAAAGTGACTTTTCTCTATAACGAAATAAAATCTTGAAAACCAAGATTAAACTTTTGAAGCGCAATGTCTGGCGGTTCTAATGAGATATGAGAGTCAGCTATATCTCTTAACAGAAAAAACTAGATAGTTTTGTAAAACGGTGGTCCTTCGAGACTTTTACACCATCACCACCTCACCTTCAGGTTCAAAGAGTTATGATCATATTATATTTGAATAGCATCAGAAATGAACTCTCTAGACTCAGTTTTCCATGCCGAATCTGAAAATAATAGTTTGGAATATAAAAGGAAAGAAAAAATTGGAATTAATTTTTTTAATTTGCAGAATTAATTTTTTTTGGAAAAATAGACCACCTGTAGACTATCAGAGAAAATCGAATTCTTTTTACTTTAAAGTCGTTCAAAAAAAATTAAAAGACACATATTTATGATCAGCTCGTCAAGCTCTATCTAACCAAATATGAAGAAACGAAAAATAAATGTTGTTTTAATTTTGCATTAGCGGCATCTTACTGCGATTTGTTTGTAGGAGAGTCAACCATGTTTTTCATAAGAATCTTATGCTTCCTTCCCTTACAGAGTTTTCGAATTAAGTGACTAGTCCAAATCCTGTATTAGACTCAGCTTCTTCTCGTACTCATGGATAATACAGTCCTTTGAGTACAAAAGAAGGCCGTCTGATATTAAGTCAGGACGCTGCGTTCGTTGACAGTGGCATGATTGGTACACAGGTATGACATTCAAGACGCACGTCCTCCAGACGGTATTTCGGACCTTTTTGTGAAAGCTTTTTCAAAAAAACAGACTAATCTGGACGTAAAGCCTAGAGTGACGTCCAACCGTACTAACGGACGACACATCTGCTGTTGCAACATAATTAAAGGCACATATGCCATCAGGACGGGCAGGATGACTGTATTGCAACGCCGCGACCGTCATCATAGTCTTCACTATACACAGGTTACGCGACCTGATGGGTGTC